GGGGGCGCCTCCCGCCCCGCCGACGGCCACCCGCGGCCTCCGGCCGAGCCGCTTGCGCCCGGAGACGTCTTTATCGCAGTCAAGACCACCAAAAAGTTTCACCGTGCGCGCCTTGACCTGCTACTCGAAACCTGGATTTCGCGCCACAAGGAGATGGTGAGCCCCCGCGGCCTGGGCGGGCTGATGGGGTAGGGACGCACCGTCTTATCCAGCTGGTGACAGTATCTAATGGGGGTCAGGCTGCATCCCTGTCCAGCCACTGGGACTATCTGCGGGGGCGGTGACACCAGTCCATCCCCTTCAAGCCCAGTTTGCCTGCTGGGGACAACTCTCCCCATAGAGATGTGTAAGTCCCTGAGGGGGACCTCATCCCCTGCCAAGCTCCAGAGCCCTGGATGGCTCCACTGACCCTACAACAATATCCAATGCTTGGGGTTGGTGCCTTGCGATGCTTCTTGCCCCCCAAACATTGGAGCGCGCTAGTGGGGCGTCGTTGTCCCCAAACCTCCCCAAGAAGATTCTGCATGGGCCCATTGTGGGGCATCCACCCTGGGCTCAGACCCCTCCCTGGGGAGGAAGCTCTTCCCTAAGAGGTGAAGTGAGGGGTTAGGGCCCCTGGGCACAGGGCTGGTCCCCTTCCTCTTCCCAGTTTGCTAAGGTATTGGGGACAATTCACTGCTGGTTGGTGAGCCTTGGGGAAGTACCTCTCAAAAGAAAGAGAGCGCTGGGTTTCGGGGTCTGTGCAGAGACCCTCTCCCCACAGCACAGGAGCCTCTAAGGCCTGGAACCTTGTTCTTAGTCAACCCCAGTTAAGCATCAACTTCTTATGCACACATAATAAAGCCCCCCCATTTCAAAAATCTTCCTCGAGGCTACATCGGGGCGGTTGGGTTGGGGTGAGACGAGGGCAGACTGTAGGCTCTGAAAGGGGAGTGGGGGGACATTCCTAGGCTGGGAGGTTCAGGGCATTTCAAAAATCTTCCTCGAGGCTACATCGGGGCGGTTGGGTTGGGGTGAGACAAGGGCAGACTGTAGGCTCTGAAAGGGGAGTGGGGGGACATTCCTAGGCTGGGAGGTTCAGGGATACTTGGTGTGAGGGTGGGGGCTTAGAGTAGATCCCACACCCCTTCCACCCTGTGCAAATTCTGGAGACCCAGGGCCTTCTGGTTTCACTGAGCCCTGTTAAGGGGTAGTGCGGGGGTTGAGGGACAGGGTCCTAGTGAGGTCATGGTGGGGGCCAGGGTGGCAGGGTCCTATCTGGTCCTGGCGTGGGTAGGGGGCCCTGGGAGCCCCATGGCAGCCTCCTGGGAACGCGGCGTCCCTTTCCCAGGGGCTCAGCGGGCCAGTAGGAGGGGGCTGCGGGGGCCATGGGTTTTGTTTAGCGGCTGGGCCGTTAGGATTCCCAGCACTGGGCGGCTCTCACGCCAGCCCCTTGGGCAAGGTAACAAAGCCCCTTTCTCCAGCCGAGAAAGGCGTCGGGTCTCTTGTGTGCAGCTATGCGCTCCATGGGAACCGCCACTGGCGCGCTGGCCACTCAGGTTGCCTGGTGATGAGGGGGCCTATGCCCCCCCGTCCCTGACTGACAGCTCTTGTGGGACACCATCCCTGAGCCAGGCACCCCTTCTAGTACTCGGCCTTCCTGCTGTGTGACCTAGGGCAGCGCTCAGCCCCATCTGGGCTGCCACCAGCTCTGAGCCCCTCTCATTTTGCAATTTTGGGACTTTTTCTAGCACAGGGGATGTAGTCAGAGGGTCTCAGGTACCAGTCCCAGCTGAGATGGGTGTTCTTGGGCAAGACTTAGGGTCTCTCTGACTCTCACTCTTCTCATCTCTGAAATGGAGAAACATCGCCCTTCCTGTGCGTGTTGTAAAAGAGAACTGGCAAAACCTAGAGGCATAGGGGTGAACACAGCAGGCGCTCAAAGTTGGAGAGGAGGCCATTATTCCACTGGGCCCTGAGGCCCCTGTTGAAGGATCATGAATTGTTTTATTTTCCAGCTCACCCCACCCAGGAGAGGCTGGCTGCCCCCAGCATCAGTTCAAGTGTATAAAGCGAGCAAGAGCCCCTCTTGTGGTGTGTTGTGGGCAGGGGTCCTTGAAACTCACAGCAGAAGGCCCACTTTCCCAGCCCTGTGCAGGGTGACTCAGACCCAGTCTGATGGGGGAGACATGGGGAGGTCAGGGCTGTGTTGGGGGAAACCCAGAGAGGCTGTGTGAGCCAAGAGTGGGCATCTGACCCACATATGGGTGGGAGGGAAGACTTCCTGGAAGAGGTACCATTTGAGCTAGACTGAGAAAGTAAGAAAATGCCCAGAAAGGGCAATCTGGGCATCGTGAGCACAAGCATGGGGGTTGTGCAAGAAACTTCCAGCAATTGGAGTAGCGGCTGGGGGGAGGGCTGGTCAGCAGGGGCCACACCGTGACGGGCCTTGAAGTCCAGGATGAAGAGCCTGGCCTTTGGCCCACATGCTCCTCCCCCACCCCTCTCAGGAGTGGGCCAGGCTGCAGTGGCTGCCACCACAGCGGCCACAATTGTTGGGGGAGAACTTGGCATCCTGTGTTTCTTTGAATCACGGCTCCAGGAACAATGCCGCTTCCTGTGGGTGTCCCCTGCCTGCCTGGTCCAGCCCCACTGTCCTGCCACTCTTTTTCCTCCAGCCCCACTGTTGGGGAAGTTGGGGGGTGCTAGGGACCCCGGGTCCCTGGGAGATGGGCTCGGTTGATCTAGCACCATCTCTGCCCCAGGGTATGACCTGCTGCTGCCTGTACCTCTCTGGGCCTCAGTTTCCGCACTTGTACACTTGGGTGGTAATGGTGCCCACCTCCCAGGGCCGTTAGGGAGATGAAAGAAGAGAATCAGTTTCTGACACTTTGTTCTCCACACAAGTGAACTCTTGTTAACGCCCATTTTACAGAGGAGCAAACTGAGGCTCTGAGCAGTGGGTGAGGCCCATGGCCAGGCAGCCACTTTCCCCTCTTCTCCTGGTTGCTCTGTTGTGGGGAGACAGGAGGCCCGGCACCCCCACACCCCACAGCCCCGCCTTCTCAAGTGCTGTTCTCCTGGAAGCCTCCCTGCTCCTGAGCTGAACAAAGGTGACTTTAATCTCTGTAGCCTTGGGCTGGGTTTTTAGGGCACCACCAAAGCGCGGGAGAACAGGTCTCCCTTGATCTCACTAAGAAAGCATTTTCTGTTTAATCCAATGGCTGCAGCAGAATGTCTGCACAGACCAGCCCTCAGCCTCCCACAGCATTCCTGGGCTGAGATGCTGGGGGGCTGGGTGCGAGTCTGTGCGTGCGGGCGCCCTGGGGTGTCTCCTGGACTCAAGAAGGAGGGGTGCATGTGTGGAGGTGTCAATTAAGCTTGCCACATACCTTAGCTCTGGGCCTGTGATCCGAGCCCATGTGGCCAGGTCTGGGGTCAGGCTGGGCAAGGAGCTGGGGCTGCCTAGGTGAGGGTGGGCACCTTTCCTGGTGTGGGATTGGGTTTCCCAGGTCCCGGGGTATGTCCTGTGCTCCAGGACTACACACGCTGTAGCCTCCTTCAGACCTGTTTGTTCACGGAAGGAAACTGACGCCTGGTGGGAATGTGGCGTGTGTAGGGGGGTCCTACTGCTTTGCTTAGAGCATCCCCCACCCGCCCCAGGCTTTGCACTCAGCCATGCCAGGGTGTGCCGGGCGGCACGCGCTGGGCGGGCCGAGCAGAGGAAGGAACATTCCTACCCATGTGCCGACGGGCCCAGGCGGGCGCCGGCAGCTCCTGGCCCCGCCCTGTTGGCCCCCTCTTCTTCCGCAGAGTGATCCTGGCGGGGGGTGGCCCTCTGCTGGCACAGGTGGAGCCTTGCTGTGGCCTTGGGCGAAGCCGTCTGTGAGCCTGGGTTTCCTTGCCTGAGCAGCAGGAGGGGTGCTGGGCTGCATGGGTGCTGGGGGTCCTGATCCATGGGCTGGGGACCACACCTCTGCTGACCATCAGCGACTTCACAGAACCACGGTGGCTGCTTTGGCTCAGGGTAACCTGCCTGGCTGGTCACAGTCTGGAGGGCTGCAGTGCTGGTGGCCGCACCCCTGCCTGCGGGACCTCTTGCCCAGCCCGGCCCAGTTAACCAGGCCAGCTGTATGGTAATGGGTAGCTCGGCCACTCCTGCTTAACTCGGCCGAGTTAAGGCCGGGCCTGGCGCCCCTCGCTGCATGGCCCAGGACAAAGCTGGCGGACAATGCCTAGTGATTCATCCTCCCTCCGGGCCCTTTGTCCGCCAGGGCTTGGCAGCCTCCCAGCAGAAGCCTTTGTCCCCGACCCGAGTGATTGAGACTTGGCTTCCCAAAGCCGACCTCCTCTGCTTGTCCCCCATCCCATCCCCTACCCCCTCCTGCAGCCTTGAAGCAGACCGGGCGCTGTGTCAACAAAGGTGTGCGCCCCACCAGGTGCACAGGGCGGGTGGGCGGGCAAGCCAGTTACCTGGCAGGAGGGTGGGGCATCCCATCTGGCTCGTGCCTCACAGCTGCCTGAGTGACCTTGGGCCCAGCTGTTGAGGTTGGGGAATGAGGCCCCCACCTCCTGAGGGCGTGTTTCTGCATGAGCCCGCAGCTCAACTGCCTCTCAGACTGGGCACTTGAGCCTTTAGCACATAGGGAAACTGAGACCCGGAGAAGGGTGGGGAGTAGATGACTGAGCTATAGCTGCGGCAACTCCAGGGTGCACAGTGCCCCCCTCCAGGTGGCCTGGGGTGGGGGGCACAAAGCTGGCTGCTCAAGGCTGCGTTTCTCTTTCCAGACATTTATCTTCACCGATGGGGAGGACGAAGCCCTGGCCAGGCACATGGGTGAGCCCCAGACTTGGGGAGGGAAGGAGACACAGGCCTTGATCTGGACCAAAACCCTCCCTCCCCTTCCCCCTCCACCCTGCTTGGGGCAGAGAGGTCACGGGCTGGCAGGGCTGGGAGGGCAGTTTACTCAACCGGTTTGCTCAATGTCCGCCCCACCACTCAGGGGCTCCCCGATTCTCATGCAAATGAGGCCCTTTCAGCCCCTGGGTCCCTTTGAGCCAAGCAAGCGGCAACAGGTGGCGGGTGCTGGGAAAAAGCTGCCTGAATGAGCAGGGGCGGGGCCGCCCTGCGCAAGGGGCGGACTGGGGGGGGAGGGTCTGCAGGCTCCTGCCCTGCATGAGGGGTGGGGGCGGCCGCTGCAGGGCACGCTGTGTCCCCCAGACCAGGCCTCTCTCTGAGCCAGCTCAGACTCCCTTACAGCCCCTCCTCTGCCCGCAGGCAATGTGGTCAACACTAACTGCTCCGCCGCCCACAGCCGCCAGGCTCTGTCCTGCAAGATGGCTGTGGAGTACGACCACTTCATCGAATCTGGGAGGAAGTGAGTGTTGGCCTTGGGCTGGGGTCCCCAGGGAACTACCACCATCCATGCTCATGCCCCAGCAGTCCCCTCCCCAGCAGTCCCTCCCTGATGGCCCTGCCTTGCCCTCAGGTGGTTCTGCCATGTGGACGATGATAACTACGTGAACCTGCGGGCTTTGCTGCGGCTGCTGGCCAGCTACCCGCACACACAGGACGTTTACATAGGCAAGCCCAGCCTGGACCGGCCCATCCAGGCCACCGAGCGGGTCAGCGAGAACAAGGTGGTGAGTGCTCGCCCGTGTTACACATGCCCAGAGTGGGGGAGGGGCTGAAGGCGTCCCTGCAGCGGGGACATGGAGGGTTCAGGTCGCACGTCATTCTCATCTCCCCCAGCGTCCTGTCCACTTCTGGTTTGCCACTGGTGGGGCTGGCTTCTGCATCAGCCGTGGACTGGCCCTGAAGATGAGCCCATGGGCCAGGTGAGTGCTTCTGAGGCCCGACCAGCCAGGTCACCCCAGGTGCCTTCCCTCCCCGACGGGGCTGGCTTGGTTCATCTTCTCAGCAGCTGGGTGTCCCCGGCCTCTGGTGTCGGCTGGCACTGCCCACCTCCTGCTTGCCTTTCTTTTCCCTTCCCTCTGGGTTTCAGAAGGCAGCTGTGTTTGTAGCAACTCCTCCCAAGTCTGACCTGCTAAGAGCAAGCACCAGCTTGTTTAGTACCCCAGGCACCATTGGACAGGACCCCTTCCTGTACCCAGAAACCCCCCACTCACAGAGAACCATCAAGCATGGGAGCTGGTGTAGAGGAGGGAGGGAGGGAGCTGCAGGCCTGGTCTGCAACCTGCTCCTCAGGGACATGTCCCGCCTCGTCTCTGAGCCCAGCTGCTTTGCTCTATAGGACATGCTGCCTGGGGTTGGGGGGCTCCTGCCAGCTCCCAGCAGGTGGCTCTCGCCTCTGCTCACCCTGTCTGGGCCCTTCCTTCTCACAGTGGGGGCCACTTCATGAGCACAGCCGAGCGGATCCGGCTGCCAGATGACTGCACCATCGGCTACATCGTGGAGGCCCTGCTGGGTGTGCCCCTCATTCGCAGCGGCCTCTTCCACTCCCACCTGGAGAACCTCCAGCAGGTGCCCACTTCCGAGCTCCACGAGCAGGTGCACCATCCCCAGGGGCCCGGCCAAGACTCAGACTAGCAGAGAGGAGGGAAGGGACAGATCGGAGAGAGGGGTGAAGTGTGGTGGGGTGAGGGCGGGGGGATCACTGTTTTAAATAGGGAGGTGCTTGCATCACTCTGTCCCTCTCCTGACAGGTGACCCTGAGCTATGGCATGTTTGAAAACAAGCGGAATGCCGTCCACGTGAAGGGGCCCTTCTCAGTGGAGGCTGACCCATCTAGGTGAGGAAACTGAGGCCCGGACAGGGGCTTGCACAGGGGGTTTGGAAGAACTGGAGCTGGGTATCTCTAACCAGCATTACCATCCCGAGATGGCCCCCAGAGTCCCGCTTTCTTGGGGTGAGGTAGGCCCCCCACCGGTGCTGCGGGTCTGCAAATGGGTGCTTAGCAACCCCACCCCACATAGACCAGCCCGTCCCCTTTGTCCCTACAGGTTCCGCTCCATCCACTGCCACCTGTACCCGGACACACCCTGGTGTCCCCGCACTGCCATCTTCTAGCAGCCAAGGCTAAGACCCCGTCCCTGGGCGTCCCTGGTATCCAAAGGGCCCAGGGACACCTGTTATGCTGCCCTGGCCTCGGCATTCGAGGCTCCCAGGGCTGTGCGTGTGTGTGAACTGTGTGCTCACCCAGGTAGCAGACTGCTGGGCAGTTCTGCTGTGCAAAGTGGGCAAAAGTGCCCCTGGTCTGCTTTTCCATGCTCTGGGGGTCACTGGGCTTCAGGGCCCTCGCCACAGAGGGACTTGTATGTCAGAAGTCACTCTGAGGGCAGTTCTGTTATCACTTTTGGATCTCTTTGCAGCAGGGGACTCAGGGCTGCTCTGCAGGGACGTGTAGGTACCTTTCTCTTCCTGCTGAGTACAGGCTCTGTGCTGGGGGTCCCTGCTGTGGAGTCCCCCGTACAAGGGAGCCATGCTCAGTGCAGGCGGAAGCTGGTTTGTGGGGGAGTGGCCCAAGCCCCCTCATCCTCCTGAGCTCTAGCCTGGGTGCCGTGGCTTAGAGTAACGCAGCCACTGCCCAGTTCCAGGGGCCCCATGAAACCCGCAGTGGCCATCAGCTGGTGGAACAGTGGCTTCCCTCCCAGCTCTCCTGGGTGAGGGGTCTTCCGGGCCCCCTCAGAGATCTTCCCTTTGTCTCTCCATGATCGGGTGAGTCAGAGCTGAGCGTTTTATCTCCTCTCCAAAGTAGAGAGAAAGTCGCCCACAGTGGGCGTGCCTGTAAATATTGTGACAGTATTTTTTTACTGTGCTGTTTTTTGAAAGGGGGTGGGTAAAAAGTAAGGGTGTTTTTGTTTTTTGTTTTTGGGGGGAGGGGGGAGTTCTTATTTTATCTTTTCTGTGGACCAGAAAAAGCAGAAGCCAAACTTGGGATCATCTCTGTTGTAAAAGCTCAAACGAGAATGTCTGACACTCCACGTATTTATGCGTTCCAGTATCTGGAATCTCCCATCCCTGCCCTCCCCCTACCTGGCAGTCATGTCCCGCCAGGCCCAGCCTGGCTCACCTCTCCTGTGGGGGTGTGTTTTGTGTCCTGTTTTTCTCTTTGCAAAGACATAGCTAGGAAAGTAAATGATAAGGGAGAAATTCTCAGGGAATTGAAGTGTTGTTGCTATGGTGACATCCTTTTGCTGTGAATAAAGGTGCTCTTTGCGGCAACCTGGGGTGTCCTCGTCCTGGCTGGAGCTGGGCCTGAGCTCCGGGTCCATGTGAGGTGGCTCCAGGGTGGGGCTGGGGGCACGCAGGGGAGGGAGAGGCTTGGCTTAGCTTGCACCACGTGGGGTAGATCGGTAGCAAACCCTCCAAGCCAACTATTTCAGAAGGAAACTTGGGATCAGAATGGTTACTTGCTGGTGCCTGAGGGGCATGGGCAGCCCAGGGTCAGGCTGGTCCCTGGTGGGTGGGTACTGTGCTTCCTGGAAGAAATGTCAGGGCTGCTGGGGGCTACAGGTCCCAGCCTGGGGAGCAGACTAAGGCTCTGGAGCCCCAGCCAGGGTGCCCATCCTCCCTATAGGAGGGACAGTGACTACTATGCCTGGGCCTGGGACCTCCTTACCCAGCTTCACAGCCCACAGAGTCAACATCCCTGTCTCATTTTGCAGACAGGGAAACTGAGGCTCAGAGTGGGTGCTGCCCAAGGTTGGGCAGCTGGGTCCCAGCCTCCCCATGTGCTGGTAACCTCTCATCTGTGGAATGGCTCCATGTTCTGCTCGACCTCATGGAGAGGTGGGAGGAGTCTGCAAGAGGACAGGCATACCCTAGGTGACTGCTGCCCCAGCAGGGTCTGTGACAACTGCCACCCCCCCCGCCCCCAACAGGTCCCAGGAGCCTGGGCGAGGATTCAGACACTTCTTGTTTTCTAAAGAGAGCAGCTCTGCTGTGTTTTTTCTTCCTCAAATCAAGCCTTTGAGGGTAGACTGAGTAGGGGAGGGGCCACTCCAGCCTCCAGCCGGGGAATTCCCTCCCCATCACCCATCCTGGCGGGCTTGGGGCAGCCCTCGCTTCCTCTTCTTCCTACCCAGCCCCCAGCACCTCCCCGGGGCTTGCAAGGCAGGGCTGTCTCTGCCCTCTGCAGGTACCTGCTCTGGCCTGACCCTTCCCCCACCTGGGGCTCCAGGTTTCCCCTTCCCACTGCCTTTGCACCCCTCACTCTGCTCCGTGTAGCCTCTACCCTGCCAGGCACACACTCACGTGCTCAGTGCCCGCAAACAGAAGCCTGGGGAGGGCCCCCTTCCTCACAGCCCTTGCTGGTGGCTGCCCTGGCCTGGGGGGCGACTGGCAGGCCCTGACCCCACTTTGACTTTGGACGGGCCTGAGTCAGAGTGTGGTTTCCAGGGGCCTGGGAACAGCTGCCCCAGGGAGTGTGGGCAGTGACCAGGACCATGGGAGGCAAAGAGGACCCCTCGCTGTCACATGGCCTGACCCCTGTCTGGTGGACAGTCCCACACTTGGCACCCACCGTGTGCCGGGCCGGATGGAGGTGGTGGCCACTTTCTCGTGGGGTGGTGCAGGACCCACCATCTTCTGGACAAGGAAGCTGAAACTTGGTGGTGGGGGGGAGGGGAGTGGGGGGGCCAGTCACAGCGGAACAGGCTGCAGGTGGGGACCATGGGCCTCCTTCCTGCCCGGGTGAGTCAGAGGCTCGGTGCCTTCTGTCCTGGCCCTCAATACCACCTCCTGCAGCTGCCCTCACCACAGAGCTGGCAGGGACGGGACAGAGGTGTGGCTGGTGCCAGTGCTCGGGCAGCCCTGTGGATGTAGATGCACAACTGTGCTGCCCCACCTGGGGCAGGTGGAGTCCTCGTCAGCGTCGGAACCATCAGAGATCATAGCTGGTCTGAAATTTCCAGTCGGGGGGCAGGGGGTGGCGGGGGTTGCTGAGCAGGGAGGCCAGAGCAGAGGAGCAAGGAGCAGGGTGGGGAGAAGCTCTGCCCCTTCTAGAGCCTCAGTCTCTCCATCTGGGAAATGGGGATAAACATAAATGCAGCCCAGTCTCTGATGCCCTGGGCCTGGGAGGGGTCATGTGGGAAGCACAGGCCAGCAGCATCGTGCCCCCCTCCTTTTCCAAGGAAGGCGAGGGAGGGAAGTTTCTGCCTCCTCAAAAGGGGAAGTCAGTCCAGCAGGAGTCTCCGTGGAATGGGGCGGCCTGATTTCTTTCACCTGCCCCCTTCAGAGGTGTGAGGAATGTGAGTCACCCAGGCAGGAGAGGTGAACTCATTTCTCTCCCAGGTACATTCTGGGGATGGCTGTGCCCTGCCCACTGGTGGCATCATCTCCCCCAGCCCACAGACAGGGCGAGGGGCCACTCAGAAAGGGTCCTGGCTGGCCCCAGGGGCTTCACATTTCCCCGCCTGGCCCAGCCAGGCACCCCCCTCGCCCAACTGCTCATCATCCGTGGGGCTTTCAGAAGTAAAAAGTAAAACCACAACCCCCAGGCTGCTGGGTGCTCTGCGAGGGGGGCAGAACTTAGCTCCCGCCCCTGGCTTCCGTTCTGCCAGGCGGGTGCCTGGGTAGCCAGCCAGGCCGAGGGCTGCCAGGGTGGGGCCCCTCCCTGCTCGGTTTAGACAAACTTCCCCTTGACTGGGGTCATCAGGGCTGACTTCCTGGAAGAGGCACCTCTGAGCTGGAACTGGAAGGCTTTGTAAAGATGAAGTGGGGTATCTGGATGGTCGACGGGACCCTCCAGACTAAAATAGGAGTGGGACGCCTGACCCACCTTAGTGGAGGGGGGGGTGGGGGGGATGACACCCAGCCCCTAGGGATTTGGTTGGCAGGAGATGGAGTGGAGAGAGAAGGGGCATTCCAGGTCTTGACACAGCCAAGGAAAAGGTTCAGAGGTGGGACCAGTCAGGAGTCCTGTAAAGCTGGGAGGTAGGTTGGGAGCTGGACCCCCCCACCCCCACACCCAACCACGAGCAGGCAACCAGGGTTTCCACAAGGCTCTGAGGTGCCAGAGGCCAGACCCTGCTGGGTGGTTTCAGCCAGTCCTGCTTTCTCCAGGCCTGGGGTTGGAGGGGAGGTGGAGGGGGGTGGGGGGCACCAGGGCCAGACCTGCCTTTTTGTCTGTCAGACCAGTTGGGCAGCTCTGCTGCTCCCAGGCCCATCTGCCCACCCCAGCCTCACTTTCTGAGCCTAGGTCTGGACACACGAGAAGGCACTTGGTACATCCTAGGAGGGACCCAGGGACCTGCCTTGTCTTGGCCCCTGGAGGTTGCCGAAATGATGTCACTATGGAGTTTGGGGGCTCAGAGCTGTGGCTGCTCCCCCATGCGCCCCCTACCGCCCCTGCCCAGGCCTCTGGGACTCACCTCTTCATACAACCCACCACAGTCCTTGGGCGCCGGCTGGCGGCGACAGCTGGTGATTTCTCTCCCAATCCAAATCCTACCATTCCTGAACACTCACCAAGATGTAGTGGCAGGGGAGGGGAGCAGCCATGTGCTTCCTCTTCAAAGTTCACGGCATGAAATTTGACATCATTACCAATATCTGATCCATGCAATATGGGTCGTGGCAAGAGTCAAGCTTGAACCAACGGCCACAGGAGGCCACGGGAAGCCCCAGGAACCCCTTCTTTGGCCATCGGCGCCCCAGTTCTGGCACGTGGCTCCTCAGCTGCAGGGTGCCAGCAACCTCAGCTGAGTGGCTGCTCCCCTGCTGCACTGACATGGTCATGTCACAGCTGAGCCCCACACCAGTGGCCTCTGGACACTCGCAGGAAATGCAGATTCTTGGGCACCAGCCAGGCAGGAACTCCAGAGTGCCATCTGCCTGTCTCGCCTCCTGTGAGGACTCAGCACCCCCTGCTGGGCACTGGCCGCCCACACGCCTCACGCACAGCCTGTGTTGTCTCCAGTCCCAGGGGCGCATCACCTGCTGCTGCCCTCCCGCCGTCCCTGCACACATGGGGTATCCACAGGGCCCCTCATTCCAGAGAGACTTCAGCTCCGGCTCATGGCCACTCTCTTCCATGGCTCCTGCGTCCGTTCTTGGTGACCTTGGTGTCCATGATCCTTCCCACACCCTTGGCTTCCAGTCCTCCAAACACCCGCCCTTGGGCCCCACTTGGTCACTCTCCAGGCTTCAGGCCCTCCCTGGACCACGGCGTGGCCCCGCCATCCCTGACTCTTGCATCTGCTCTGCTTCCCCTGCAGGTCTGTGCAGCTCACCCCCCCTGACATTGTTCCACCCCAGCGGACTTCCCCCTTCCTGGGGCTTGCCCTCACCTTGCTGAAATCTCAGGGTCAAGCATCCTGAGCTTGATCTCACCTTCAACTCCTGTGGCCTCTCCTGCTTCAACATCTCTGGGCCAAGCCTGTAACCGGGACCTGGTTACACCCAGCCTTCTGCCTACACTGCACTTACACCAGGCACTGAACCCAGATGGAGAAAAACCATTTCACCCCGTGTTTAGTCCACTTTGAATTCCAGATCCTGGTCCCCAGGGGCCTTTAGAGAATCCAGTCCCTGCTCATCCATCTTCTCCTTCCCCAGCCCACACCCCCTCCTGCCCAGCCTCACTCTCTGCTGAGGGCTTCCTATCTCACGAGCCCTTTTGCCATCACCCATGTACCTGCACGTGCTCACCTGCTCACCTGCTCTAGTCAAGGTTGGCAGGCCGGGCCACACTCCTGCCCGACTCAAGAGCCTTGCTCCACCGATTAAATCTCCTCCCTTTGCCCCATTTTCTTCTCTCTACCACATCAGTCCCGCTAGCCTTACCTGGATGCTGTATTTATTTTTTTTCTCCTTTTTTCGTGACCGGCAACGGGATCGCAACCCTCGGTGTCGCGCCCGCACCATGCTCAACCAGTGAGCGGACCGGTCTCTATATGGGATCCGAACCCTCAGCGGGAGTGCCACCACGCTCCCAAGCACCGCACTCTACCGAGTGTGCCACCGGGCCGGCCCATGGATGCTGTATCTTTGCATCTAAAAACACATGAGCACATGCACATGAGCACCACTTCTCCGGTCCACATCCCTCTCTTGCTATCTATTTTTTGTGTGTGTGTGTGTGTTGGCTGGTACAGGGATCTGAACCCTGCTGTTAAAACACCATGCTCTAACAAACCGAGCTAACTGACCAGCCCTATCTCACTATTTTCTGCTTTTACTATTTAAATTCCTCAAATGGACTCTCTAGATGAGCCCAATGTAATCATAAGGGTCCTTATAGGAGAGAGGAAGGAGGGTCCGGGGTCACAGCGAGGGATCTGTAGGTGCTGCGCTGCTGGCTTTGAGGATGGAGGAAGGAGGCCCTGGGCAAGGGATGTGGGTGGCCTCTAGAAGCTGGGCAGGAGCGGACTCTTTCCCAGCCTCCGGGGACCCCATCCTCCAGCGGACGTTGTTCCCTCCCCACACCCTCCACCCTGAACTCCTACTGGTCTGCTCCCATCCCCCCATCCCAGTGTTCTCCGTGTGCCCAGGGCCTACCTAGAGCCATGGACCTCAGAATTGCCCAACTCAGGAGGGAGACAAAACAACTCAGGAAAAGGGGGCTGCTTTTTAAAATTTATTTTAAAACATGAAACCCAAGCTGAATAGAAACCACAGAAATTACATGGACAAAATTTTTAATATTTGCCAAGAAAAATAAAGCCCCCAAAGAAATAAAAATCAACCCCCAAACCCAGTTTTAAAAAACAAAACCAAAAACACAGCGACGGTACATACAGCCATGGCCCTACGGAGGTTGGAGGGGGAAATGCAAAACTGGTTCAGACCTCAGTTCCCTGCTCAGATGTGAAATCACACGGGGGGATGGGGGGAGCAGGTAAGACTCAAGGGCCAGGAGGGGAAATGAACCAGGAAGTCGTCTTGACAAAATTTTATATATATACTATATATAACAAATATAAAGTGGTATGGTACACAACCATCATGGTTCAACACAAAAAAAGATCCCACACAAAAGGTCCTGGCCCCCTGCCTACCCCTGACTGGGGCCCAGGGGCTGCCAACTAACCCCCACCCCCCCGGGGCTAGGCAGAGTTGGGACCTAGGTGTGGAGAGAGATGGTGCTTGGGGCTGGAATTGCATAGTGAGATGGGGAGGGTGGGCACAGCAGGGAAAAGGTCGGGCTGCTCCCAACCAGGCCCTTCCACTACCCAAACCTTGCCACACCACACGAGGGGAGCCCATGGTGAGTGCCACCTGCAGAGAAGCCCATCAGCTCTCAGTCCCAGCTAGACCCCCCTCCTGCTGGTGTGGCCTGTCAGGGATGGGTGGGGGCTGGCTGGTGGCCCAGCCCTGTAGGGCTTTGCAGCCCCAAGGGCTCCTTCCTCCCATCCCCATGGCCTCCCTGCCCCAAACATGGTCAAGACTCCACTCCCTTGGGATGCTGCAGGGCCTAAAGGTGCAGGGTGGGGGTGGGGGTGGGGGCGGGACACAGGCAGCTGGCCCTGGCCTGCCGCCCCCAGTAGGTGTGAAGAGGTCACTGGGATGGGGGTACTCAGGAAAGTGGCACTGAAAACTCAAAATAAAAAGAACCAATTGCAGGAGCCACTCCCTCCGTCTACTGAGGTTAGGGTTTGGACCCTTTTTGGTTTTCCCCCCTTTTCCTTTCTTCAACCTCGGTGAGTAAAAAGTCACAGACGGGGCACGCACGCACGCACACGACGGTCAGGATTCCCGAGACAGCACAGGATTCACAGCCACGTCCGGGCAGTGCCCGCCTCTCATGCTATGTACATTCACCTTGCGGCAGCCTTGTGGGCCACAGGCTGCGTTTGTGCTTCTGAGCAGTCGCAGAGCGCACGGCAGGCACCTGGGTGGAGGTGCCAGTGCTTCCCTCCTGAGCCGCAGCCAGGAAAGCTCCCATGGTGGGGTCAATCCCAGTGGGGAGACTGGGCAGGTCGCTGTGGCTGGGACTCCGTGGCCCTGTGGGGGCTCAGACTGATGGCCAGGTGGGGTCTGGAGCAGACTTCCCTCCAGGAAGGTTCGGTTGTGCCCGGGGGGCTCAGACCCCAGGCCCACTGACTCCCCTCCCCATCAGACTCCCTACCCCACCCTCCTTTGGTCCCAGACACCAGCACAAAGAAAGGGTGGTCATGGAAAAGGGCAGGGTGGAGCCTTGCCCCAGGGAAGGGCTGAGGACATTTCTGGTACAGGTAGCTGCCCTGCTGCTCTAGGAGGAAGAACCATATGTCTGTAAACCGCTGGGGCCACCTCCCCTGAGGGACCCAGCCGTGGCCCCTGTTTGTGGCTGTCCAGAGGCCCTCTGGCTGCCCCTGACTTTGGCACACAGGCCAGAGCATGTATTGAGCCTCGTTGTCTTGGCTGGCTGAGCCAGGGCTGGGGCTAGAATGGGCAGAACTTCCCGGTCCTGATTTGGGGGGGGTGGCTCCACCCTCCGTGACAGGAAGCACAGCAAACATTGTACACTAAAGCCAAAAGCACCTTAGGGAAGCCTGTTCCCGCTTCACAGGTAGGGAGACTGAGGCCACAAAGGACCTCAACCCAAAGCCCATAGGATATTTGTTCTTGAGGACATGGTCCTCCTGGGGGCAGCACCTGCCCAGGGAGGGGTCTCCAGGCCCTTTGGGCTGCCTGTTGGTCTTGGCCCCTCCCCAGCAGCACCCCACGAAGAAACGGTGACTCCAGCCCCAGCTCCCAGCCAGCTGTCCTGGGCCTTGGCTCCAGCCTGGACTGCGGGTCCACTCACTGGCTCTGGGTCAGCCAGGAGCACCCATGGAAGCTGAGAGTGAGGTTAGTGGTTAGTCCCAAGAGGCGCAGCAGGGGCTAAGGGCACATTCACAGCCAGCCTGAGTCCAGCCTCCGAGGCCAGGCTCTGGGGACACTGCGCCTGTCCTGCATGGAAATGGAACCAAGAGGGGAGGAAGGGGCTTGACCCACAGCCCCAGCCTGCCTAGAGATGACAAATGTGGTTAGTGCAAAAAAACGAACCAGACGAAGCTGCCAAGTCTCGGGGTGGGGGGGTGGGGAGGGGGTTTGGCACCAAGAAGGCGGCCAGCACTGGGGGGCCGGGTGTGCAGCCTGGGCTCCACATGGCGCCTGCTGTCGTGGAGGGCTGGGTGCCTCAGGCAGGGCGGGCACTGAGGGAGAGAGCGATGCAGAGCAGGAGGCAGAGAAAGGGGGCCTCCCTGGAGGCTTCTGGCAGCTGGCAGGAGGGGCGAGCCTGTGGTCAAGTAGGCAGCATGGGTGAGAGACGGCGCTACAGACACTGCGGAGAGACGGTGTGCAGGGGCTGCGGGAGGGTCCAGGTGTGCAGAGCTGAGCATTTGAGTGTGTACCCCTCGCTCAGTGGCCAGCAGAGGCCTGGCACAGGGGGCTCCTGCCATGCCTGTGAACTGAGGAGTGATCCACAGGAGCATTGAAGGCGAGGATGGGCAGAGAGAGGCTCACAGGGAAGCAGGGCTGGAGAGGAGCGTGCAGTGGGCTGGTCAGAGGACCAGCAGGTCAACAGCCATCTGCAGAGGAAGCATGTTGGGGGCAGAGCGCCTGGCCCAGACCGAGCAGGGCCCAGTGAATCCCAGAGGGCAGAGGGACGTGGGGAGCAGGGCCTGAGCAGGGCCAGGGTGTTGGTGGCAGTGTTCCCACGTGTCTGTCCAGGTGTGTGACCAAGTTAGGGGTGCAGGCCCAGAGCCTCTGCTTCTCAACCCTGCTTGGAGCTCATGCTGGGCATCTATGCCCCCTGTGGGGAGGGGAGAGGAGGGAGCTAGTGGCCTGCAGATGCACCCAAGGCTGGTCTGGCATGGCGTGCAGAGGGTCCGGCGGGCAGCCGCGGGGTGTAAGTGGCAGTGCTGGCACGGGGAGGGGTGGGGGCGGTTGGCACATGGGGCGGGTGGCTGGCCGGTGTGCGGTCTAGTGGCCGCTGCCGCTGGAGTCAGGGCGAGGCTGGCTCGTGGCGAGGTATTTGGCTCTCATGCTGGAGGTGTACTGGAGGAAGACAAGGGGGCAGGTGGTCAGCAGGGCCCTGGAGGCATAGCTGGGGGCAGCCGGCAGCCTCCCCAGCACAATCCTTGGTTGATGAGCCAGAAGCCAACCCCTGGGGGGCAGAATGCGACAGCACAGTGGTGTGGCTGACAGAGCCCCATGGGCAAGGGGCTCAGGGAGGGGCTGGCTGGGGCTGAGGGAGGTCATGGCCCCCAGGGAGCACAGGTCTGCCCTGACTCCCAGGCTCAGGGCCAGGGGATGAGTCTCCTCTCCCGGTTACATGAGCATGTCATCCCCATACACACATCACTGGCATTTGGGCCTCGGCCAGGAAGAGCTGTGCCACCGCCCAAGAGCCAGAGCTTAAAGGCTCTAAGTACGCCCTGTACACCCAGGACCTGAAGGCCACATGCAGGCTGCCTGCCACTGCTGGGCTGAGACCCTGGGCCTCTGCCTCAGGGCCCTGTCCAGACCCCTGGGGCCAAGACGAGGCCTCCTCCGGGCAGGGGCCTCTGAAGCCAGGCCACAGCCAGGAGCCCACAGGAGTAAGGAGGCCCCAGCCTGAGGGCATCCCCTGGGTCACTCAGCCACACAGCCGCTCTACCCCCTCACCCCTGGGGAAGGAGGACCCCAAAAGCCCCCCAGACCCTCCAGGATGGAGTGATGCTGCTGCCCACTGTGGGATCCTCCCAGGTCTGAGATTCAGGAACAGAGGAGACTAGAGGGGGAGCCCCCAGCCTGCCCACCTCTGCACACAGCCTGTGCATCTTGGCCACCCTCATCCAACTGGAAGTGTGAAGGCCTCAATAGTGCACATGCATGTGTGAATGCATGTGTGTGCTTGCAGAGGAACACACAGACAAGGCATGTCTGAGGCCAGGCTATGCGCAGGCTCACGTGCCCATGGGGGGCATGGCTCATGCCATGGGTCATCAGTGGTTAAGAGGCCTGGCAGGCTGGCTGCACCCATGCCTAGGTGGGCTCCAGCAGCCCCAGGGACCCCAGGCTGGTCCTCACAGTCCCCAGATCCAGAGGAACAATGCTCCCTGGGTCTCTGGGAGCCCTCCTAGAACACTAGAAGGTTGTGAGCAGCCTGTCAGGTGGCTGTGGAAAGGGGGCAGGGGGGAAGAGTAGCGGCACCAGGGAGGCACATCATTCCATGGACATGCAGCAGGGTGGTGGTGGGGGGACAGATGATGGGATGGGGTGGTGGGCAGCAGCCTGGGCCCCTGAAGGAGCCCGAGCAAGCACCCACATGGCTGGGTGGGGACAGCAGGAGAAGCGTGCACGCTCATCGCACACACCTGTATGCACTGCCTGGCATGCAGGGCTATGCCTTGACAGCTGGACCTGATAGCCACACAGCCCGAGGCCCAGGCCACACAGGGTCTGCATAGGTGGTTTCCTTGCTGAGAGGTGATAAGAGGGGCTGGGGCCATTTGCAGCTGCTAGCAGAGTCCCCAGAGGCCAGGTGGCTGGACCGGGGGGCAGGTTAAGCCCAGAAGGGGGCTTGCTACCCCCACAGTAAGGCTGGTGGGCCCAGGGCCGGCATTAGAGGTCTCTGTAGCTGGGCTGTGCTGCCCAGAGCTGGCCGGACGGGTGCTGAGCAGGTCAGGATGGTTGGGGCCTGAGGTCAGCACTGGTGGAAAGGGGTAGTGAGCGGGAGTGGGGGCGAGGCATGGAGGTGCAGGCTGTGGCCGTGCGGGGCGGGGACTCGGGTGGGTCAGTACCTGTCACTCTGAGGGCAGCTACCACAGCGTTCGGGCACTGTCCATGGGCTTAAACTGCCAGCCCGCGTGGCTGCCAGAGTCCAGGGCAGCCAGATAGCGCTAGGAGGGCCCGGGGTGGGAGGGGTGCAGGAGAGAGAGAGAGAGAGAGGGCGGCCTCAACCCCAGGGTGCGGGACTGGCCCGAGCAGGCCGCGGGGCTGTGTGGGGACGATGATGAGACAGCAGTGTGTGACTGAGGAGCCACAGCATGGGACAGCCTCCGAGCCTCTCAGCCCCTGGACTGGGCACAGGTCCCAGGTACCCCAGGCCCAGCTCTGTGCCAGAGGACAACAGCAGCTGCCACGTGATTGGGTATTTCTAAAGCAAGATGCCTTCAGTCTCTCTGGCCCTATCCTGGTGGCCCAGCCCTCCAGGAAGCCCAACAGGCCCCTGGTCTCTCCACAAGCTCCTTCCTGGTGCACCAAAACCACCCTGTCCCCTCCCATCTGTGTCTCCTCCCAAGGTCAGAGGGAACACCAGGCCCAGGATGGAACAGCCACAGGCTGAGACGCAGGTGAACATTCAGGAAAATAATCAAGAAAGGAAAGAAGGAAGCAAGGCTGGGGCTCCTGGGAACTGGGGGGGTGGCCCCCACCACAGGTCCAGGAGGTCCAGGGGGAGGGTGGGAAGAGAGAGGTGTCAGCCCTGCCCCGGGGCCCCACCCAGTTGAGCTGGAAGAGCACATCCGGGTCCACCTGCCTGCCTTCCCAAGAAAGGGCCCCAGAGCTGACCCATCAGGCAACTGGCCCTCCAGGCTCCCCACTCTGGTCCCGGGCACCTCAAGGCCAGCCCACTCAGCCCCATCTATCGAGGCCAGGTGCCCTGTGGAGAGGCCAGGCTATGGAGAGCCACACTGGGCCCCCACCATGGGAGGCTCAGAGATGCCCCTGGAGCCCACACTGCCCACGAGAGCTGCACCAGACCACCAAGGCGGCAGAGTGGTGGCCCTCCTCTGATGCCAAGGGTCTCCCCATCCACCCTCCTGTCCCAATACTTACTGAGGGTGGTGGGGACTCGCGCCCAATGAGTGGGGTGTTCTCACAGCGGGGATTCTGGAAATTGGCGTTCTGGCTCCTGAGGTGTGAGGGGAGAGACAGGCTGTGAGTGACCGCTGACCACGGCAGTCCCAGCTTTTGTTTGAGAGAGTCCATCTTAGAGTCAGGCAAATCCTGTGCCCACCCAGCTCTGCCCAGCACCCCAGTCTTTGATCCTGACTTCCACAGGGGTGGGCACATCCTTTCTCACTGGCAGTCCCATGAACCCAGCACAGGAACAAAGGATTCAGAGTGGGCCCACAGGTTGCCCGCCTGCCCACCTTGGCCTGGCCAGAGCCCACCTCCTGTCTGGCTTCATGTCCACCACATAGCTGGGCTGCGGGGCCCTTGGCCATAGCGTCCTTGGGCCGTAGACACGGAGCCTCTGTCTGACCATGTGGCCTTCCTATGGCCCCTTGACTGGCTTTATCTGGGAGTGGGGATCACTGAATGCCAGGCCGACCCCGCCTGCAGCCCCTTCTCCTCCTGGCTAACCCCCTCTCTGCTGCCGCAGAACAGGATACTCCTCCTGCCCGTTGGGTAGCTAGCCCCTGGCTGGACTCCACTCTAAGCCCCAGGGGCTCCCCATGACTCACATGTACTCAGTGACTGGGGCATTGCTGACGGTGTGTGCCGCGGCTGGGATGCTGGTCTCACTGCCATAGCTGCTGCCGCAGCTGTACAAGCTGGGCATGTGGACACGGTAGAGGCTGTCATGCGCCTGCCGCGGCCCTGGGGCGGTCTCCTCCTCTCCATCCTCATCAGGGCCTCTGCAGGGAGGGACACCCAGCACAGGCTCACGCCCTGGCAGGAGGGAGGTAGCTACAAGACCTGCGGAGGGCCAGCTCTGGTGCTGAGACACCTGGCTGCAGTTCTGGCATGCCAGGACTGTGGACAAGTCACCTGGCTCCACACCTCAGCTCTGTCCTCTTGCAGGGGAGGGGATGCTAAGAGTGCCAGGCTCTGCACCATGGCCTGCACATGGCAGCGCAGACTGTGGTTATCAGAAGAGCACAGGGCCCCTCCTGGGGGAGCACAGAAGGCTGAGTGCCTGGAGGCTGAGCTCTTTTGGCTCTACAGGGCCTGTCTGTATTCTTGGGTGGCCTGAGCCAGGTTTTCCCCGCCCTGCTGCCCTCTGGCTTTCTGTCCTCCACTCTGCGCTAACTGCTGCAGGTTGAGGCAAGGGACTGGTGGACGGCCTGGTGGGGAGTTACCATCAACCTGGTGCCCTGCCCAGAGGGCCTCCTCGCCTTGCTCCGGGTAGTGAGCACTGCAGAAGCAGGACAGTGGTAGCTGTCGGCAGGGCGGTGACCACCAGCCAAGCCCAGGGTGGTGGGCTTCACACATAGTGGCTCATTTAGCGCTCACCTGACCTGTGTCCTCTTATAACCCCCAGTTTGCACTTAGGGAAATTGAGGCCTGGGGTGGTTAAGTTACCTGTCCAGTCACACAATATAAGGGTAGCGTCAAGATCTTAATCTAACCACATGGCTCCAGGGCTGTGTTCTTAGCCATTCCCCCACAGCTGCCATCTTTATTAACACTGCCATTCACTCTCACCACCATCACCCCCCACCATCATCACCTTCACCATCACCACCACCACCATCATCACTATCAGCAGCATCACCAACATGACATCCAACATCATCACCATCATCTCCACCATTGGCATTACAAGAGAGAATAATAGAATAGAAATCCAGGCAAAGGGGAGAAATCAGAGCTGAGCTACTTGTCACCCAAGATGGGCCATTAAGCAGCCATAGCCCAAATAGGAGGGGAGGTGAAGGGTCTGGGAGATGGGCCATGGGGGCCCCAGCAAGGGAAGGAGTCTGGCACCGCCATACACCACTCAACCAGTGCTGATGGGAGATTGAGTCAGGGGCCACCAGACCCCCCCATTCAAAGATAAGGAAGGACACAGCGGCTCCATGGGAGCTGGTTTCCATCTTGGCCAACCCACTGGAGTCCATGGCCACCTGAACTGTCCCCTGCAGACTGGACTATCCACACAGCTGGACAGCTAGCCTCTCCACCCACAGCTCTGCACACCTGCACCCTGAGGTGGGGACTGACTGCCTGCGAGGGGACATGGATGAGACATTCTGAGGCCAACCGTCGGGGTATGGGTACACAACCAGCTCTAGGGGGCAGAAGACCCCAGTTCTCCTCCCTGCCTTCTCTGGACTCATGTGATTCGAGAATGAGCATTTTGCTTCTGTGAAATGGGGATGTTCACCTGGGAGCCAGTGGCCTCAAAGATGCTGCAGAGGCCTAGAGGGTGTTACGAGGTGAGGAGGCATTTGTCCCCCACCTCTGGGGACTGGGACATGGGTGTCCAGAAGGGCATGTCCCTAAAATGTCCTACATATGCTGTGTGGCCTGGGACAAACCCAAGGCCCTCTGTGAGCCCCTCACCTCTTCTGCTGCCAGGTGTGTGGGACGCTGCAGACGATGGAACTGAACATGAGGGCTGTGATGAAGGAGAAGAGGGCCAGGTAGATGAGGCCCTCGACGCCGTCGTAGCAGAAGCCTGTCAACGCCTGCACGTAGTCCTGAGCCGGCACAGGGTGAGACGGCAGACCCACAGAGACAGGGGAGAGGCGAGACAGGCAGTGTGAGATGGGACACGTGGGCCCTTGGCCCAGCCACAGCAGCCTGCACCACCCACCACCAGGAGGTTGGACTGAGAACCCACCAGCTGTTTATGAGTCCCCATTCACCACCAGTGCCCCCCAAGCAGCTCCCCACTGTCTCCCACCCACCAAGCCGTTCCCCTCGTTCCTCTCCAGCAGCTCCCCTCTGCCCCTCTGTCCCCCACCCCCCGAGCTGTGACAACTCCACCACGGGTGCTGCCTCTCACCAGATGCAGGCTGCGGCAGTCCACCAGGGCAGTGAGGTGCTGCAGGTTCACTTCTGTGCCATTCAGCACCTCCTGGACTCGGAGCAGGGGATCCTGGGGGGTACGTATCACTCAAGGTCAATGGCTCATTTGGGCGGGGGGATCCAGGTCAGCCATATCCCCTCTTGGGAGCCCCCTAGAACTCCCTCCACCCCACAACCTGCCATAGACCCCACCCTCGACCCTGAGGTCTCAGTGCAGGTCCTGGGGAAACTGGGTCTTCAGAAGTGGTGGCCCCAGAGTCTGTGCCTTAAACTCACAGGGACTACAGAGGACACAAGGACCCACGAACACCTGTTCAATGTGGTCACCACTATGTGAAGACAGACAGTCCTCCCTTTATTGAGATGGGAGAAACAGCAGACCACCCAGTGTCTACCGACTCAGGACTTGTTCTGCTTTTAAAAATCATATTCTAAGGAATTCTAAGGAACAATTAAAGACAAGGGAAAATTCTGATAAGTGACAAAAAAGTACATAAAACTCTGTGCAAAGTGAGCCCAATCCTGTAGGGCACACGTGCTCACACGTACTTGTGTGTGTACACGTGCACATTTACAGACACCTCTGGCTCTACCTTACGCACGGAGAACTGACTGCACAGAAACACCTACGGGTTGACGGTGGTTCCTCTATATCAGAGATTGGACCCAATGCTTCCTTTTATAATGCATTTTCTAAGCACCTTCTACAATCTTGAAATGGACTTCAGGAGAATAGGACCTACTGTTATGGGCTCAATTGTGTCCCCCAATATTCATATGTTGAAGCCCTAGCCCAAGTCCCTCAGAATGTATTTGGAGACAGGGCCTGTAAAGAGGTGAGTAAGTTAAATGAGGTCACTAGGGAGGCCTTAATCTAACATGACTGGTGTCCTTATAAGAAGAGATCAGGACAAAGACATGCACAGAAGGATGACCGTGTGCAGACACAGGGAGAAGACAGCCATCTCCAAGCCAAGGAGACTGGCCTCAGGAGAAACCGGCCCTGCCGCACCTTGATCTCAGATGTCCAGCCTCCAGCACTGTGAGGACATATATGTCTGTTGTTTAAGCCGCCTTGTCTGGGGTGCTTTGTTACGGCGGCCCGAGCAAATTAATACACCTACCTACTCTCTCGATTGCAAAAAAATCAAAAGGGTGTTCTAACTGTAGCAGAAATAAAAGAAAGTAACTTTAAAGTAATGTGTGTGTGTATATGTTTTTTTTTTAAATTCTGTGTTTCTTAGAAAAGGACTTGCTACCCCAAATGGAATTTGAGAGCCACAGCTGTGTCCACAAGACACTCTCTTCTCTGTCCCCAAATCTGGGGCGGTGCACAAAGAGGCGCATCCCCACAGGTAGACCAAACACCTCCAAGGAGATGTGAGTTTTTGTCAGGAGATAGTAACATCTGTTTTAATGTGTAAATTCCCAGGGCCCAGAACACTACATGGAAAAACAATAATCCTCTCAAATTTCCAGAACGGCCCCGAGGGGGTGCGCCTCACCCCGAGAACAGATTTATTTCATTCCTTCCTCTGTTTCCCCTTTCCTCATTTTTTAAAAATACAAAGAGTTTGTATTACTTTTTAAACAAAGAACAAAATTATTTTTAAAAACTTATCAAAAATCCCCAGGGGGGCCGGCCCGTGGCTCACTCGGGAGAGTGCGGTGCTGATAACACCAAGGCCACGGGTTCGGATCCCATATACGGATGGCCGGTTCGCTCACTGGGTGAGTGTGGTGCTAACAGCACCAAGCTAAGGGTTAAGATCCCCTTACCGGTCATCTTTAAAAAAAAAAAAAAAAAAAAAATCCCCAGGGAAAAGAAATGAAGGGGGAGGGAGGGGAGAAAAAAGAAAGTGTCTCTATATGGGAGGGCGGGGACAGGAACGACCCCCACTAGGTTCCCATCAGGCCATTCTGGTGCCTTTTCCCAATGTGCCTTGAGCCGTGTTCGCACCATGAATTCCTTTCAAGCTGAGAAAAGGGGGTCCCACTTACCTTGGTGGCTGGGTGCTCCCGGGGGACGCTCCTCAGGAGCTCAGCCACGACGTCCTGCATCTCCACCAGTGCCTTGTGGCTGCCCGACAGCTTCTGCTCCACAGAGAGGCAGCTGATTCCGGTGGGGCGGTGGGGCGGAAGCCAGTCCACCTCTTCCTCTCCCCAGGATCACCTCCCCCTACCCCCTGCACTGCAGAGCAGCCCAAGAGGCACCCAGCCCGAGAGGCCATCAAGGTTCCCAGGTGGGCTGGCTGTACCAAGCCCCGCCCCACACAGGGTGCCCCTCCTGTGCTCCTCCCAGGCCACCCACACACCCAGAGACAATACACCACTGGGGTGGCAGCGGTGAGCCACATACCCTCCCCAGAAAGCAAAGCATGGCATTTTTAACCCAGAGGGCCCTCAGTCCTGGTGGAATACCAGGCAGTGGGTGAAGGGTTTGACCTGTTGATGCTGCTGGCCCCTTCAAATTCTACCACCAGGAGGCCTAAATGTTCTTCTACAGAGGGGGCTCCTCCCACACCTGCCCCAGATGAGCTTTGCCCCCAGGGGTTTCCAGGGGCAACACAAGGAGTGAAAGGAGGACCAGGGATGTGGGGAATTAAGCAGGTCACCCCAAAAGGCCTGCACCACAGTGGCAGGGTGGTAACCCCAGGGGCAGTTAGTGATATCAATAGAGTCTCTGCCCAGCTGTACCAACTGCTCCTGTGATCCCAGTATGCTGCAGACGTCTGGGCTGTGAGGACAGGCGCAGGGCCTATTGGGCTTTCCCCACACAGAAGCAAGGTGCTTCCTTCCCTCCTTCCTTCCCCCCACCCCAGCCCCTGACCCTGGCCTCTCAGGACCAGGCCAGACTCTCACCTGCTGGAAGGGGTTAGCGGTGTAGGGTGAACAGGTCAGGTAGTACTGCAGGATGTCTGCGGAGAGAGGTCAGAATGGGCTGAGCATGACAGCCCTCCCCATGTGTGTGACTGCATGTGTGTGCCTGTGTGTGTCTGCATGTGTGCGCTTACGTGTCAGTGTGTGTGCATACGTGCATGTCTGTGTGTGTGCTGCAAACGTGTGTGCATGTGTGTAGCTACGTGTGTGTTCACTTGTGTATGAGTGTGAGTGCATGTGCACATTTATGAGTGAGCTGTGGCCTTCAGGGAGACCAGGGCCAGGGCCCATACTCTTCTATTCTGAGTTGTTTCCCTGCAGTGTGCACCATCTTTGGGGAGCAAGCCTTGGACCCCTCCTCTTCTAAAACAGTGGACAGAGCAGTGGGGTGAGGAAGGAGGCAGAAAACTCCACACTGGGCAAACATCCAACCCCTCTGGGCCCATTCCTTCACAGGTCACTTGGGCAGAACAACAGTACTCAGGCTAGAGTGTCACCCCAAAGAAGAGAGGACATAGCCTACAGGTTGCAGCCTGGAGGGCCCAGGACACAGGTGGCCTGTCTGTCTAATCCACCCTAAAATATTTATTAATTCAGCATCCAAAGTTTCAATATGGGGGACATATTGATTGGGGGACATAATTCCAATGTTCCAGCGTCTTGAAAAACCTAGAAGATCCAAGCCTGGCCAGAGTCAAGGGAGGCGGTCCTGGGCCCCATCTGCCTGCTCCCGGCTGCCTGCCCCCTCAGTGGGCCCATGGGAGGGGTTAGGGCCCTTTCCTTTACAGTGACACTGGCGTTGGAGCTCTAGAGAGCTCCCTTCTCAGGGGCCACAAAGCAGAAGGCGAAGGGGAAGCAAGGGTTTGGGCGCAGGCTGGCCCGCCGCCTGGGGCAGCAAGGTTTGTCCGTGGGTGTGGGTGCCAGAGTCTGGGCTCCCATCAAGCCTCAGTGAGCCCGGGGGCCCTGCACACCTGCCCATTGCTTGGGTCCCTCCTTCTAAACTCTCTACCAGTTTAGTTCTTCCAATCATAAAAGCGTGTTGAAAAAAAGTTGTTTTACAAGTTGAAAGAATAATGAAAGTATTTAAAAACATAGGAAAGCTCCAGGCTTCAGTTTAGCCACCTGTAAAAGGGAGCAATAGTTAGCCTTGCGGGCCTCCTGTGAGAGCTGTCTGTGGCCTGCGGGCTGGAGCCCACACTTGCATGTGGCTGGGGCAGCTCGTGCTTGCTGAGTCCCAAGAGTCCTGAGCAGTGGGGGCCTGGAGAGGCCAGGCTGATGACACCAAGGCCAAGGACAGTGGTAGGGACAGCAGTCACCAGTCCTGCCAGCCCCCAGAAAAGCATGCCTGCCCCCCACCCCCATCACCTCCTGGGAACTCCTCAGGCTTCAACGGAACTGGTTCCCCTCAAAAAAATGATCTAAAAATCTAGCTCACATGCTAATACTGTGGCTTTGGTGGACAAAGGGTGGCAGGATGGTCCCTGACAGGGACAAGCATTTTAAGGCCATTCCATCTCCCCCACCCCCCACCCCCAAAAGGACACTTCCTTTATTTTCTATTTAGGAACCTGCAATCCTTTCATAACTGGGTAGCAGCCTCCAGGCCTGACTGCACCCGATGCCAAGACTCCTACGTCCACCTGCCCTGCAATGTCCAACATGCATTGTAAAGCCGGCCAAAACTTCCGATTCCCTAGCTCCCAACTCAGTTCACACTCCCACAAGGACCAGGGATGTGGACTTCTTAACCCCTTTCCACCTACATCCAACTTATTGGAAAGTCCTGTTGGCTCCGCCTTCAAAGCACATCCCCTCCCACTTCCTGCCCCATTTGTCCAAGCCAAGGCTGTCTCCACTGTCTTCTGCCTGAGGGAATTCAACATTCCACCCCCCACCCCGACCCCCCACCTTCTTGTCATTCCAGTGGCCCAAAGGAGCTTTTAAAAAAAACACTCAATCATGGACCATGTCTCTCCCTGGCTTCCACCCTTCAATGGCTTACCCCCTAAAATAAAACCCAAACTCCTGACCGTGACCCAGCCCTGAAACGTATCAAGTGTCTCTGCCTCGGGGCCTTTGCATGAGATGCAGCCTCCCCTGCCCGCCCACTCTGCAGCAGCTCTGTGTCACTGGCCTCACACAGCACTTGTCCTCATCCTCTGCAGAGACTTCCAATTGGGGAAGGTGATCCTGTTCTCACTAGCTACCTGGCCCGGGATCTGCCTCCCCGAGACCGGGGCCCACAAGGGCACGGGCACCTCACTCTCCCAGGCCCATCCAGCCCTGGGGCACCAGCTCCGATGAGGCCTCAGACTCACCCCCACTCAGCACCGAGTGCTCCTCCACCATCTTGGTCACGTAGGTGTCGGGGTCCACACAGAAGTCGCTGGAGCCCTGAGGTGGGCATGGGCATAGAAGAGGGGGTGACTAAGCTGGGCCTCAAAGTGAAGCTGTCCTCCACCCTCAGGGGTAGAACTAACTCCAGGATCTGCTTTCAGCTCAGGAGGGTGGACTGTGAATCATGGGGGGCGCGGACATGCTGTGTGCCCATGGGCAGGACCCACTCCTCTTGAGACCCAGTGTCCCAGGGGAAGATGGCCAGTGGGCAGGGAAGAGTATGGCTCTCCCCACCTCTCTCCCACACCTAGACCCAGCAGACAGGATCACTGATCCCTCTGCCACTCACCACAGACACAGCCAGCTCCAAGCCCAGTGCACCCCAGCTGATGACCAGGGCTAGGACCCCCAGCAGGCAAACCCTTGGGAAAAAGAAAGCCAGTCAGCAGCCCCCAGGCTGGGGGTGGGGGATGTGCCACCTGCTGGGCTGCAGGCTGGAGGGCCAGGTCCCAGGGCATACCTGGGGGTCCAGCTCACCCGGGGTCTGTGGCTCCTCCTATAGCCTGGCCTCAGCTGCCCAAGGCCCAGGGCCCAGATGGCTTCCCCTCCCAGCTGGGGTGGGGCTCAGAGAGCTCAGAGCTGGGAGCAGGGAGGGCGGGCCTCAGCTCGGCTAGAAGGCCAGATGGGTCCCACCACTCTTGTTCCCCAGCCCCTCCCCAGGCCCCTCCTCAGCAGATAACAATCTCCATTTTCACTGCAGCCCCCACGGCCTATCCACATAGCCACCTAACCTCGGCTCTCGGCTAGAAGGCCAGATGGGTCCCACCACTCTTGTTCCCCAGCCCCTCCCCAGGCCCCTCTTCTCAGCAGATAACAATCTCCATTTTCACTGCAGCCCCCACGGCCTATCCACATAGCCACCTAACCTCGGCTAGACCAAGCCTTCCTGTGCTCACACCCCTTTGCCACCTGAGGCCTGACTTCACCTACCTCTCCAGGCTCCCTGAGGCTCTGCGTGTACACCACTGCAGGCCTGCGCACTGAAGGTTAAACGTCCCTCCTGGTGTGTCCCTCGCCCCCCTAGAGCCTCTGCTCCACTGTCCCTCCCTCAGTCTCCTTGGGTGGAGCCTGCACACAGCACACTGCCCTGCCCACCTGCATCCCCCCCACCAGCTTTATACCTCTCCAGGGCACTGTCACCTCTGGCACACAGTTTTACTCATTCGTCCCTCCACAGCCTGTGAGTGCTGCGCGGGCAGGGCTGGAATGTTCTCTGGTCTCTCCCAGCGCCCAGCCCAGGTAGGAGCCAGGGCACAGCTGTGTGATTGTGCAGTGAAGGACAGTAATAATACCTCACAGCTACCTTATGGACAGCTGTCACTCTGTCTTTAGGCTCAGCACTAATGAGCCACCTGCCAAGGTCACCAGCCTCGTTAGTAGCAGAGACAGGGCTAGAACCCAGATGGCTTCCAGAGCCAAGGAAGGAGCAGATGGAGGAAGGGGCCCCAGCTTGCTCACCTGGTGTCCCCAAGCACTTGGGGACCTGTGCAGGTCCCTTCAGATCTCTGGGCTACAAGTGCCCCACATGCAGCCTCTCACAGGAGGAGCGGGGAGGGGCACAGCAGGAAACCAAGACTGGGTTGGGAGACGCTGGCCACAGGGGCACAGGCCTTGGGTGCTGAGAGTGCGGCTCAGAGCAGACCTTCTCCACAAGGAGCCCACGCTCAGGCAGACCAGCCAGCGAGGGTCTTGCTGGGGTCTCACTGCAGACCCTGTGGCTGGGATGCACTGATGGTGGGGGGATGAAGCTACAGATGCTTCACCCTGTCCCTCCGCTCCATACTCCCACTCAGACTCACCCGACCAGGATGCCCTTGGAGCTTCGGATGAGGCCAACCAGCACCAGGAGGCAGATGATGACATCGAGCAGCAGCAGGCCCAAGTAGCCCAGCCACCTGCAGGCACATGGTGGGCGTGGGCCAGGGTGAGGGGCGTGTGGGGCCAGGGAGAGGGAGCGTGAAGGGACGAGGGAGTGCTGGGCATATGGGAGGAGGTGGTATGTGGGGGCAGCTGCACCAGTGCAGGCAGAGCTGGGGCAAACAGCCTGGTACCCTGGAGGGGCATCCACAGGCAGTTCTGGGACATGGGGACTGGTGTCGATTCTGAGAAACACTTCCACTTGAGGGATTCCCGCCACTGCCAGAGACCTCCATTGACCCTGCTCCCCACCCATAAGACCTCAGGTACTAGGTGCTGACAGCAAAACTGGCCCAGGAAGGGTGATGCTAACCCAGGTGCAGTAGGCTCAGGCAGGGCAGGCAGGAAAGAGGGCTCACTGCACCTGTACCAGTCGTAGACATCGACCTGCTCAGCCAGCACCTCCATTGACACGGTGGGGTTCCTCCAAAAGGGGATGGCAGCTGTGTAGCCCAGCAGCGTATCAAGCAGGCCCTGCAGCCTCTGGACGGCCCGCAGGGACTCTGGCCGCCCAGCCAGCTGCCGCTCCAGACTTTGCAGGTTGGGGTCCGCCGTGCGGTTCAGGGCCACTGCCGTGTCCCACACCTGCAGCGGGGACCCACCGGAAGCGTGAGGCCAAGAACGTGCCCCCCCACTCCCCACACGCTCGGGCCCTTCCTGCACACAACTGCCCCCACCCATCGCCTCCTCCCACACGCTCAGGCACAGGGTTCAGGTGCAGGAGGGTCGCTCTCCAGCCCCCCAACTCCGCGGCCACTCACACGGTCCTGGACACCGGCCACCGTGCGGTTGGCGTGGCGGAGCGAGTAGGTGGCCCGATGGATGCCATCACTGGTCTCCCCGTTGCCGTAGAATCCCACGGCGATGCCAGCGCTGGGGAGGGCCGGGCTGATGAGGGCATGGCCCCTGTCCCTCTCGCCAAACCCCTCCCCTCCGGCCCCGCCCCACACGTGGGCCGCCCCTGCCTCCCTCCTGCGTGCTCACCTGCACACCAGCGTGGCGATGATGACGCACCAGGCTGTGCAGCAGCAGTCGGCGTCCAGGTGCTCCTCAGTCTTGCGCCGCCGGCAACACAGCCAGAAAGAATAGAAGAGCAGGAAGAGGAGGTCCAGGGCGAGGCAGGCCAGAGCGGTGGCCCCCAGCAGCAGCAGCGCCTGCGGGACGTGAGGAAGCGGTGCTAGAGGGCGGGGACCCTCTGCCCCGGCACCAGTAACAGCAAACTCCACCCTGTCCTGGACCAAGGGCCCTGGCTCATATACTTCCCATTCATTCCTCCCCACAGCCCTGGGAGGTGGGCCCTGTCCCCAACTTACAGGTGAGGGATAGAGGCTCCCAATACCTAAGTGACACACTGTGGTCACCAGGCTTGGACTGCACACCTGGGACTCCAGAGTCCCCATCCTCAACTCTGCACTATGACATCAGGACTCGATCCCAAGCCCCACTTGGGGGCCAGGTGGGCTGGCTTAAGTCCTCCGTGCCCCTCTCAGACCGTGCCCCCTCCCCACAGCAGCCTGTCACCTCCTGGGCCCCACAGTCTAGGGTGGGTACCCAGGACATGCTTGAACAAGGGTACCCGACCAGGCTCCAAAGAACAGGGGTGACAAAGAGGGAGCTCACTGCTGACTGATCACGTGGCTGAGAAGTGCCTTGACCTCCCTGAGCCTGTTCGTTCTTCTGTGGAAAGGGGTGATGCCGCCTCTCCTGAAGAGGTGAAGTTTCAGCCAGCTGCTGTAGGGCCAGGGGCTGTGCGCATGACCTCCCTATCCCATCACCAGCTCAAGACTGCTCCTGGGACACGAGGGTCCAAGAGTCCGAGGGTCTGTGCCCCTCCCAGGCCCAGAACTCTCCCATCTCAGTCCTAGGAGGGATTCTCTCGCAATTTTAGTGGTGAGGTTTTAGGAGCTGTTAGGAAAATGGGGAGCTTCCTGGGGGCTGAACTCCCCCTTGTTGAAATGAAAGAGTTTGGGGGGTTGAGCACTGTTGAAGTACCAACAGGCACTCATGCCCATCTTGGGGGCCATGAGAGGGAGGGGCCATTCCCCTGCCTTGTGCTCTCTGAGGAGCTGCATTGAGGACTGGTGTGTGCACTGCCTGGTGGAGTCCCACTGTGTTGGATGAGATGGGGACTGTCCCAGGGACATCACCCCTACAGGCTGCGTGGGCTGCTCCCATATAACAGCTCTGCCGGGTGGGGGCCTCGCTCCTAGAACAACCTTCTGGTGCTGCGTTCCTTGGGCTCAGGACAAAAGACTGAACAGAGAAGGGACAGCAGAGCCCTCCTGTCCCAAGGCTGGGCGTCTCCTACAGGAAGCGGTTTACTTGACTCAGCAGTGACATTTCCTGAGCACCCGCTGTGGGAAGGGGATGATAGGGACACAGCCCAGAGCTGTCCATTGTTGGGAGAGGCGCCAGCCCTTCCTCCCCTGGCCATGTGCTTTCACACCCACTTTCCTGATAAAGAAACCAGGCTTCAGAGAAGCTTCGGAAAATATACAAAAAAAGGACTCAGGCTCCATGACCCTGTAATCCCGGGTTCAAATGCAGCCACTTACTGGCCATGAGGCCTTGCCCACGGCACAGCCCCTCCAGAACCTCAGCACACTTCCTGTGCCAGGGTGGGGGGTGGTAGCTGACATGGGCAGCACTTCATTGTGGGGGCTGAAGTGCCCAAGTCGGAGGTGCCCACAGAGGGGTGGATGTCAACAACGGGGCCATCAGTGTTGTGGAGTGACCACTGGGTACTCTCAGCTGCCTGTGCTGGAACTGCTGCAGAAAAACACTCTCCTTCCCAGGTCTGAACTCTTCAGGAATTGAAGCCCTCCCTGGGGCCTGAGCCTGAGGAGCTGTTGGGCGGAATGTACCCTGCCTGGCCCCCCTCGGGGTGAAAGAATCAGCCACGGATTAGCAGGGGCCACTGGATTGGCGGCCCTGGTGCCCAGTGGGCTGTCTCCCAGGAGATGATTGCTAGGCAGTAGGAGGATGGTGCTCCCTGCTCTCCTGGAAGCCTAGTGATCCTCATACCTGGAGGTGGGTCTCTCTCTCCCCGTTACACCTGGCCAGGGAGGTGATGACCTGGGCCTGCACATCCAGCCAACGTGGGCCGGAACCAAACCACCATGGTCCAAATCCATGCTGGCGCTCTGGGGGCTGATGTGCTGTTTGGAGATTGGGCCTCTGCCCCTGTCCAAGGCACAGTCAGCCAACGTGGGCCGGAACCAAACCACCATGGTCCAAATCCATGCTGGCGCTCTGGGGGCTAATGTGCTGTTTGGAGATTGGGCCTCTGCCCCTGTCCAAGGCACAGTGGGGGGACCCTTGCAGGGAAGGCCCTGAGTGCCCTGCTGGCTGGCTGGGTGGGGGAGGGGAACAGTCTAGCAGGGGTTGGCACCAGAGCCACTTCATCAGCCCAGGTCTCCCTTGAGGTCCCAGGGTGCTCATGTCAGAGAGGGGCCTCCAAGGCCCAGGAAGGCTTGCCCAAGTTCACACAGGGAGGTGGAGACAGGCCAGGCCACAGCAGGAGTCTCCAGGAGGGAATCAAGCACCTACCTGACGGCCAGAGGCCAGTCACATGGGGAGGTGTCACTTTAACAGACCCTGCAGCTCAGCACCACCCCCACTGAGCCCAGCCCCCGACTTCACAGTCGGTCTTCGGTCTTCGGTAAATATTAAGCAGAATGGCCACCTCTCTCAGGCTCCCTGGATCTGCCCTCACTTGTGTGGGGCTGGGCACAGAACAAAGGTGCCAACCCACCAGCTGGTTACTGCAGGCCCTGCCCATCCCATCCTCATAGGTCAGGGGCAAAGGGCAGAACAGACCTATGAGGGCAGCTGACACAGCTCCAAGGCACCTGTGCTCATGGACATATGCACTCCCACAAACAGGGCCACCCTGGACATCCCTACAGTTCTGGGGGCCACGTCAGCCAGCCCCATCTCGGCCGTACACAGGCCGGCCCCTCTGGGGAGCCCTCCTCCTGCTCTCACTCAGAGAGCCCTCCAGGCCCTGGCTGGAGTCACTTTCACTCCCCTGTACCCCGCCCGCCCTATCCCTGCTCACTGTAGGGCACAACTCTGGGAAGGCCTGTTTGGGTTCCATCCCACATCTACAATGCATGTCCTCTCAGGGAGATCCTCCTTGGAGTGAGACAAAGGTGTCGATCCCAGGCACACAGCAGGCAGAACCTAAACAGGCACCTAAGCTTTGGCTCAGGTGGCCACCCAGCCTCTTGGGCCCCCGCACCTGCCCACAGGCAGGGAGCCCAACCTGGCCAGTCCAGCCAGCACTCAGATACATCAAAGACACATCAAAGACACATCAGGACACATCAAAAAGCTCACAGGCCCAGATCACCTCCTCCGTGGCGCCAGGACAACCCACTCCCACTTTCCAGATGAGAAAACTGAGGCAGGGCAAGATAAGCATCCCTGGCCAAACAGGATGTGGATCTGGAGGCCAGCCCACCCCTCGGGTGGCAGCCAGTGGAGGCGCCTGCAGCCAGTGGGGGGTGGGGACACAGCCAGACTCATCATTGCTAGTGCCAGGCACACTCCGGGGCCCACAGACAGCACTGCGCACCCTCAGAACCACCCAGGGTGGTGGGGCAACTAAACATCATCACATCATCCTAAGCCCTGGGGCCGCTGGAAGGGGAGGGGGCCGTGAGAACACAGAGAAAGTAGAATGGGGTGGGAGTGCCAGGCAAATCTGCAAGTTTAAACAGTGGCCAGGACCGCCTCCTTGAGGGGAACACATCTGAGTCCAGGAGAGGTCAGGGAAGAAAAGAACATTCTGGGTGGAGGGAAGGGTTTAGCAAGCAGTCAGCACATGCGCAGGGAGGCCAAGGGGCTGGCCGCACTGAGCCTCGGGCCACGCGCTTCTTGAAGGTGCTGCAGTCGCCTGGGCAGGGGGGAGTGGAGGGCGCACTGAACTTCCATCCGTCTTCTGTAGCTTTCATTTTTTAAAAAACCGTGAACGTGTACTTCCTTTATAACTAAAACACAAAACAGGAACTTGTTAGAGCTTCTCTCAGCCCGCGCGTGGGAGGCCCCAGAAGATGGTTCGCCTGGGGTCTTTGCCCCGGCTTTGCCAATTGTGGGTTTCTGGGTTTCACGCCTCCAGTCAGGCCCTGCTACTCTCTGTGCCTTTTTCCTTCTCTGTAAAATGGCTGTGACCACTTTTCCAACCCACCTCCAGGGCTGTCCCATGACAGAAGGGCCCAGGCAGCCATGAGGGCCACTGGGAGGAGGTGATGGGAAACTAGAATTTGAGTGCCGCTCGGTTTACAGTGCTTGTAGACAGTCCCTGCTGGTGCCCCGGTCTACCAGGAGCTGAGATGGAGGGTAGGAACGCCCTGGTCTCATTCCCAGAGGCTGACACTACCTGCTGCTGGGCAGAGGCACGGGGCAGGAGAGGGAGCCACGGGAGGAGGCAGGTCCCCCAGCCATCCCTGAAACTCAGGCCCTAGAGGAGCAGCCTGGCTCGCTGGGGAACCAGAGGGCAAGGTCCAAATGCTGCTCCACTTGGTTCTCAAACATGAGCTTGGATCAGTGTCTCAGTTTCCCCCATGTATAAAATGGAGACGGTGACATCATTTTCTAGCAAGGTTACTGAGAGGGTGAAATGAGCCAATGGTGTAATGGTGCAGAAGTGAGAGGCCCCTTCCAGGTCCAGCTGTGCAGCCATGTGAGCTGGGGAAGGGGAAGGGCCCAGTGCTACTCAGGGACAAAGTGCAAGCACGTGCTCACACCCGCACACATGCATGTCACGCCCCCACACACGAACGTGAAGGTTTGGCCCCATGAGCTCCCAGGATCTAATGCTCCCAGAGGGCTCCCCAAGACCCTGGGCATTGGGACACTTGCCAGAGGTGATGGGCCAGTCGGGACAGCCTGGCACACAGGTTCGACCACAGCCCAAGGGAGTGCTACTCCTGTTTAAGTCGAGGGGGTGGGGCAAGGGTAGGACCAGCACCAAGTAACCCCAGGGCCAAGTCCTTGAAGGTGAGAACATGTTCTGGGGCTGTTGGGTGTGGGGGGTGTCACCCAAGGATTCAAGAGTCACTTAAGCCCTGGAGGTAGCAACAGGTGGAGGTCCTGGTGCCCATCACTCCCACCTCCTGCACTCAAGGCAGCCAGGTGTCTAGGCAGTGTC